GCCTGGGTTCCATTTTTGACCACGACGCCCTCTTGCAGCCCTCTGCTAGTGAAAACAGAGCTCGGGGAGGCTGCGCACGGCCCGCCCAGGCTCTGTTGTCGCTGGCAGAGGCATCGTGGGCCGGTCCTTCGCTGTTTCCAGGATGGGCCACGGGCCAGATCTAAGCACCTCAGGGCCCGGATCTGGCCCGCGGGCCTTGAGTTTGACACTCTTGATTTACGGGCTGATAAATATGAGCATGAGAACCAGATTGGTGTAGTGGTTAAGGCATCACACTAGAAACCAGGAGACTGTGAATTCTAGTCTCATCTTAGGCACACAGCCATCTGAGTGAGCCCAGGCCAGTCACCCTCTCTCAGCCCTAGGAAGGAGGCAATGGCAAACCACTTTAGAAAAACCTTGCCAAGAAAACGGAAAGGACTTTTCCAGAGTCTCTGAGAATTGAACAGGGGGAGAGAAAAAAAGTATGAGCAGAGCCCATAAATTAATTTCATAAAATAAAAATTCTGTAATAAAAAAGAAAAAAATAAAGATCATAGTGCATGCAAAACATCTCTATGAAAACATCTTAGGCAACAGCAAGAGGAATTTTCAGTCTAATATAAGTCAAAAGAACATAAATTGTTCCTGTAGCAACAACATCTTATAACTAATTAGAATTATAATGTAACATGGTAGATCCGTTATAGAATCAGCTGGTGCTTTATTTAGCGACAATGTATCTTTTGTTTGACTATCAAAGCAGACACTATGAAAATAGACACATTCCCACCGTTATAAAAATAGACAAACGTGTAAAAATAAACATTATATTGTATAAATTAAACATTGTAAAATAAATGTATATCGTAATTGATAGCTGTATATGCAGTACTTAAGGACATTTTGTTTAGAACAATTTAGAACAGTGGTGTCAAACTCGATTTCATTGAGGGCCACATCAGGATTGTATTTGACCTCGGGGGGGGGGAGTGGCCGGGGGGGATGCGGCCAGCTCGACGTCAGTCATCGAGGCTCCGTTTCTGGCGGAAATGGCCTCCTGCAGCCCTCTGCCAATGAAAACAGAGCTTGGGAAGGCTGCAGTTTTCACTGGCAGAGGGCTGCAGGAGGCTGTCGTGGCCGAAAACGAAGCCCGGATGGGCCGTGCGCAGCCTATAGGAGCTCCATTTTCACTGGTAGAGGCCTCGTAGGCCAGTCATTCACTGTTTCCAGGGTGGGCCCCCATGAGCTAGATCTAAGCACCCCACGAGGCTGATCCAGCCCGCAGGCCTTGAGTTTGACAAGCCCTGGTTTAGAACATGGTCAGTATTTTAAGAAAAATATTATAAGATAAGTCCCGTATAAGCCTTAACCTGAATTTTAAAATCTTATTTCCAAAAATACCAAAAACATTCAAATTATTACAAAAGTTATTTGTCACAACACATATTTTGAAAAGCATAATTCATTTTTAAAGAACTGACCCACTAACAATAGTTCAATATTCTGAAGAGAATGAACCGTTTTTAATGAGCTTAAAATGAAAAATAGATAGAAAAGATACGTATGCCATTCATGCCGGAAATTTTAAAGTCGTCAATTAATTGGACCACCATGTCTTTATTTGGATCGCTAGGATCACTTTCACGAACCTAAAAACGAAGACAAAAAAAAAATCATGTACTTTTTTGAATTAAGTGCCCCAACATTATATTTTAAAAGTACCAACATTTATTTTAAAGACAACGCAGGTTTGAAAAGGCCTTGTAGCTTTAAAACTGTGTCCCTTATTTCTAAATGAGTTGTAAAATTACCTGTATCTGAAGAAACAAAATTGACTGCTAGAAAGAATGGGAAGTTGTTGTGATACTTACACATTTCAGCAATTTTATTTCATCCAAGGCTGTCTCCGTATAATGTTGAGCACTTTTTACAACTTTCATGGCGACAAACCGTTTCCCCCTTTAAAATAAATAGTTCAAAAGAAAAAGTATCAATGCTATATACCAGTGGTGGCTAACCTTTTTGGGCTCTTGTGCCAAAAATTGCGCACTTGCATGCCAGCACCCAGAATGCAATGCGTACCCTCCCTCACCATGCCCCCTGCGCATGTGCGCAGAGTCTCCACCCCACCCCCTTACTTGCACTGCACCTCACAGCTGATTTTTTGGCTGGTTTAAGGCCTTTATCGGCCTCCCAGAGGCTTGCAAAAAACCTCTGCAAAGCTTTTCAGGAGGAATTATAGGCCCGTTTCATCACTTCCTGTATGACAGGAAGTGACGAAACTTCGTCCAAGCTTTCAGACCCGTGCTGGGAGCCCATCCTTAGGGAACTTCTCTTTCCTGGAATGTGAGAACTTCACTCTACATTCCGTTAGGGAGAAGTTCCCTGAAGATAGACTCCAGCATAAGTCCAAAAGCTCAGAAGACCAAAAAAAATAAAATCATTCAATCAACATTCATTGAATAATATGCCGATCATTTCTTAGGGAAAGAGATTTCAATATATTGTATGTTTGATTAGGCAGCATTAATAAACATATAAATTGCTATGTTCAGCAGATTGCAAAGAACACATTACACATACAATGCAGCATGTGTGTGTGTGTGTGTGTGTGTGTGTGTGTGGTAGTAGTGTGTGTGTTAGGCTATACTGTCTATCTATCCACCATCCATCCATCCACACCTGTCTGTCTGTCTGTCCATCCATCCATCCATCCATCCATCTGATAAAAATAAGATGCAAAGAAAAAAAACATATCTTACTGCATGTCCCAGCATAGCCAGACGGTAGAGAAGTGACCCCATCCTAATTTTCTGATAACGTGATATCGACCATTGAAAAGATCTCCAATTTTCACTGGATGGTAGCCACCTTTCCAAAAAAAAACATACCAAAGGATATAATTAAGGATGTAATTTCACTTGTAGTGTTTTACTTACGTATGCAGGAAAGGATCTTAATATAGCCAGCTACCTGCAGAAGTGCAACTGGAAACGTATGCATTTATTTAGACCATCGCTGAATATAATGGAACAATTCTGAGAAGAGATGCCTAAGATGGCTTTGCTGGATTTAATTCAATGTTCCAAAAATATCCTGGGACAAACCTTAAAGGTTTAATTGTATTCTGAAGTCATTGTATCACAATTGCAAAGAAGACAGTAGTTTAGTGTATGGAAATATTTCATCCCTCAATCCCTTCCTCCTTCCCCACTCACCACTCCCTCAATCCCTCCCTCCCATCAATCCATCCATCCATCTATCCGTCCATCTCTCAATCCCTCCCTCTCTCCATCCATCCGTCTCTCAATCCGTCCTTCTCTCCATCCATCCATCTCTCAATCCCTCCCTCTCTCCATCCATCCATCCGTCTCATCCGTCCTTCTCTCCATCCATCCATCTCTCAATTCCTCCCTCTCTCCATCCATCCATCCATCTCTCAATCCCTCCCTCTCTCAATCCCTCCCTCTCAATCCCTCCCTCTCTCCATCCATCCATCCATCTACCCATCTCTCAATCCTTCCCTCTCTCCATCCATCCATCCACCCGTCTCTCAATCCCTCCTTCTCTCCATCC